TTGTGGTCCCATGAAATATAACAGTTTGAGTCTGTATATCTAGTCCTCACTTTTTCTATCACCTGATGTGTTTTATAGGTGATAGGAGAGTGTAATATTCTTTGCACTGAGATGTTGTAGATCAACGATATAAGTATCAGTCAGAAATGTCGGAAAATGACCTGGTTTGACGGTTAATGTCATTTTCTCTTGTAAATTAAAATATCCATGTTAGTTGATAAATAATGGATATTTAGTAATTTCATAGTTGTAAGCTTGATTCAATTAAAGCTAGACCACCATCGAATACCTGGAAGCACTGGACAGTCGTTTCATCCTATTGTGAGACTCCTCAGTAGTGCTCATCCAAGACCTCGCCTCGTGAGATACGAACTCAAAACCTACCAGTCTCATGCCATAGCACTCAACCGATAGACCACTAAGCCGGCATTCGATTGTGTTTATGTCTAATCTCAACCAATCCACGAAGTTGAACAACCGTTCACTTCTGAGGAGTCCTACAATAGGACGAAACGGCCCTCTAGTGCTTACAGGTTTTCTCTGGTGGTCTAGCTTCAATTGATTCACGCTTTCAACTATGGAAAGAATGGATTAGTTTTTTTTGTTAGTGTAATAAGAAGGTGAAGTTTATCAGAACTATGTGATGAGATGTTAGTGCAATACATTTCGAACAATCTGATCGCACATAGTATACTTGTTAAGAACATTTATATATAAAAATAAAAGGTCAACTGGACTGGAAATTGGTGGGGGGGAGGGTAAGAGTAGACAGTGATAATCCTAATACTAATAATAATGTGAAAACAATTTAAAACCTAATCACTCTGGTAAATGCAACTTAGTATTGTTTGTTTGAATCTTCCCATCGATTTGTTAGGACTGCAACTGGTCAGTCTCTAATTGGCATATGTGCATACTGTGCGTATTGCCTCGATATACCTTAATTCACAAGCATGGTTAGCAGAGATGGATAGTGGCTACCCTAATCACTCTGGATAATAAGCTAATATTACCCGGGGTAGATTTAAGGTCAGTACAAAGTGTTTTTGAATACATAAAGAGGGTTTCAATAAACTTTAGTATTTGCTCATTTACACTTTTATACAAGTTGAGTTAAGATCAATCATATGGCCTATTTCGATTATATATTTGAGTAATAACTCAATTTAACATGTAATGTTGAAGTGTAAAATTATGTTAACATTATATTGCCCTAATAAACTTTATATATATATCAGAAGGGGTTTTGTGAAGATTTTAGCAATTTGATAGAGTTGAGATCATGAGTCAATTGAAGCTAGACCACCATGGAAAACCTGGAAGCACTGGACGGCCGTTTCGTCCTATTATGGGACGCCTCAGTGGAAGTGCGCATCCACGAACCCACTCTCGCGGGATTCGAACCCAGCACCTACCAGTTTATATATATATATATATATATTCATCTAATAATTCTGTCTTTTGAAACAATCTATTGTTGTTTATACAAATTATTATTTCTTTGAATAATATTCGTCATAGAATGATTTTATTTTGAATGCCATCAGAAACCAAAGAGAGTTAAACAATTATTCTGGTATAGTATGCAACTTCTCGTTAGTGTACACTTACAACCTTATCATGAACCTTTTATTGTATTTATTTATTTGTGCACATAAATGTTGGTGCAACGGGGCACCGAATGCATATGCTCCACATGAATCACTTAGTTTCTATGTGAGCTATAATACTGCTTGGGTGCCCAGACTGAAGCAAGTGGTTTTCTTAGGGGGACACAACCGAAGCCTTTGACCTGAAGGTCTGATCCACAAGGCAGTGGAGCACCGTGAGGAGATGCAGTCCCATGGTAGCCGGTGACCAAATAATTGGTTCATACGCCATTTGTTCCTTCAGGATACTGGAGTCCATGTGCACCATTGGTTTGGAATGAGGGTTTTCCAACTCCCCTAGGTGAATTTTCCATGTCCACCAACCCGGTTAAAGCGCCGGACGTTCGCAGGACAGGTAGTTTTTTTTAGGGGCCGACGTTCAGAGCCTTTGACCCTAAGATCTGATCAACAAGGCAGTGGAGCAACATCAGAAGATGCAGTCCTATGGTAGCCGGTGACCAACGATTAGGTCACACACCATTAGTTTCTCCGTGATCCTGGAGCCCATGTTCACTATTGATTTAGGATCAGATTTTTCCAACTTCTCTAGGTGGATCTTCCGTGTCCACCAACCTGATTGCAGCGCCGCACATTCGCTTCTCGTCCTCTCAATTTCGCAAACAACAGCAATTACGCGAGAAGGCAGTGAGTAAGACTTTTGTGGCAGTGGCTGTAAACGCGTGGCCATGTGAGAGCATTTTGAGAGGAAGAGCTGACTCTCCTCACTCTCGACTGTACCAGGGCTTTTAGGTATCACGATCCTAATCTAGTAGCTTCTGGTCTCAGTGATCAGTTAACCATCAGAACCAGTGGTTTTTAAGTCCTAACTGTACTGAGGTCGTGTATGCATACTACTTAGCAGTTATACTAGGAGATATAACTCTCCAGTGCTTCCTTGTCTTTAATTATACCTCGAATTTATTATTCTGTAGCGATCCTTGTGTTTGGATTTTATTTTCTTCCTTTCAGTGTTAGAATAATCACTCTAAAACCTAGTTTATAGTTTAAGTAATACATGTTAGATTTCGTCTTGTTGATTTATTTCAATAATAAATTGCTATATTTTGTAAGTTAAGTGATATGTAGTTGTCTATGGTTTACTTCTCTTTTTACTGAGATTTTCTATAAAATAATATTTGTGCATTTTAGTCTTTTTAAAACTGCATGCAAAACCACTAAAATGGCCACTTGAAGCTCTTATTCCCAGTAGCTAGCCCCTCACAGTTTTCTATATAATCCTACACATTATTTCCTACGATAATCACTCTTGGAGTCATTTTATGTCTTGGCACTTCATAGAGGAGGGGTTAGATTGGAAATTATTTATTTAAATATATAAATATTGGTACAAGGGGGGCACCAGATATATATGCGACACACAAAACAATGAGAATGGGAAGAGAAAAGGCTTAAGATGCATATATAAAAGAAATAAGAGTAATGATGGGGGGAAACTGAAATGTACAACCAAGACGAACTCTTTCAGTTAAGGAAGTTATGACCACTTAATGAAAAAAGTAAAAGAAGGTGGTTACAACAGGATCGCCACTAGCTTCTATTCTGGGCCATATCTGATAACGTCTCTAGCCACTGTGTTGCACCATCTATCGGACCCCAGTCAAGGAATAGTGAAGGACCAACAGAAGTTAGCCCTTTGCAGCTTTCTTTCATGCCACGACACCATGTCATACACTGACCTCCTCTCCACTTTTTCCAACCAGTCCCAGAGTCGTCAAATAATGCACGATATTCGTAAAACATATCCAAGCCACCGAAGTCGATGTTTCAAAATGGTGACACTAATTGGATTGTCGCCACGTTTTTACTCTTGTGATTGGAAATTACTATTTATAATGTCTTTTTGTTGTTTCATTTTCGGGTTTATAGGTCTAGTTTCGTAAAACATGTATCATCACCAGTCCATTTGTTACTGTAGAGTCATTTGATTACAATCTTGTCTGTTCAGAAACCCTTTCGTGATCATCTAATAAGTAGCTAGTTAGCTACTGTTTATTTCTTCAGATACTATTTATTAGTCTAGTAAACGAAACAACTGCAATGAACTAAGTAAATTGTAATATAATCAATATTTCAATTTAACTACAAACTTTGTTCATTGTTGTTACTTCCGAGTTACATGCTTCGGTCTGGACACCCGGACAGTATCATAGCCCTCACACAATTAAATGAAATGACAATTTTTATGTGTTCAGAAGGGGTTTTGTGGAGAGTTCAGTATTTTCATAGTCGAAATCATGGGTCAATTGAAGTTAGACCACCATGGAAAACCTGGAGACAATTGGTGAACAGTTGCTCAAATATCTTGGATCGGTTGAAGTTAGGCATTAACACCGTTGGATGCCAGCTCAGTGGTCTATCGGCTAAATGTTCCGGCGCGAGATTGGTAGGTCCTGGGTCGAATTCGCGAGTGCGGGATCATGGATGCGCACTGCTGAGGAGTCGAATGATAGGACGAAACGACCATTCAGTGCTTCCAGGTTTTCTATAGTGGTCTAGCTTTGATTGACTCATGATTTCAACTATGAAAATTTTATGTGTTGAGCATATATGAATATCTAGTGCCCCCTTGTACCAATATTTATGCCTTCAAATAATAATTTAATACTTACGAGTGGATATATTGAAGCTCTAGTAAAGCTATTGCAATGATTATTGATTTGCATAGTTGAAATCATGAGTCAATCGAAGTTAGACCACCAAGGAAAACCCTGGAAGCACTGGACGGCCGTTTCGTCCTATTGTGGAACTCCTCAGTGGCAGTGCGCATCCACAACCTCGCTTCGCGGGATCCGGACCCAAGACCTGAGTCATATTGGTTGGTGTAGATTACCTGGTTGGGATTGGCGAGATGATAGCAATCGATAGTTAGAGACTTTGAGTGACATGGCTCAAAATCGTTTGCAACGGCGAAGGTGCATCCACTATTTGTGTTCTACACAAGTTCTGATCTGGATCCTTCATGTCCCTTTCTTTTTTCTCTTTCCAAATTTATTTCACTGGATTATACTCCTTGAATAACATATTCAAACCCTAATCTTTCAGATTACTGCTTATACTCTTACTACTTCTACCACTATGGGATTTGAATCGACAACTGCATCTCTGTGCTAATGTGGTATGGCAATTCAAACTGATGTATGTACGTAGGAAGTTCTACGTTATAACTGACTGAATGAATGATTATTGATTGAATCTTTGGTATTTCCTTCACTAAAAAAAAAGAAAAATTTTTCCTCTCCATGTTGTTTTCACTGATTTATCATTTCCGTAAATGATTTTTCTGTCTTCCTGTATTATATTATCATTCATTTTAATTTCTTTTTTTATTAGGTTGCAGAACGTGCATTATATTTTTGGAGTAATGATTATATACTACAATTAATGCATGATCATGTTGAAGAAATTTTACCTATTATGTTTCCTGCATTATATCGAACAAAAGAACATTGGAATAAGTAAGTGAATTATTATTCTATTCACTATGAATCTGATATTACTTAGCCCCTAAATGCCCTGATACATCCAAGAGTGAGGAGGTCCCACCCTCTCTCTTCGAAATACTCTTACACGACCACGCGTATACAGTCTCTGTTAGAGAAGTCCTACTCTCGTGGCGAGGGTGTTGTTTGCGAAACTGAGAGGACGAAAAGCGAATATCCGGCGCTTTAACCGAGTTAGTGGACACAGAGAGTCCATCTAGGGGAGTTGGAAAACCCTGATTCTAAACCAATGGTTCATATGGGCTCCGATATCCTAAGGGAACAAATGGCGTATGAATCAATCGTTGGTCACTGACTACCATGGGACTGCATCTCCTTACGATGCTCCACTGTTTTGTGGATCAGGACTTTAGGTCGAAGGTTCCGGGTGTGGCCCTGTGTGAAAAACACCTGCTCCAGTTTGGGCACCCGGACAGTATCATAGCCCTCACACAATTCAATGAAATGACAATTTTCTGTGTAGTGCATATATATCTGGTGCCTCTTTGTACCAATGTTTATGTGTTCAAATAATCAAATGAAAATGATATTACTTAAATTACAATTATAGACCGGAAATCGCTTTACAGCTGTGCATAGCTACAGTTTTTTCTGCTTAATTTCAAGGTATTATAAATATATATAACAATTTTTTTCCAAGGATTCTTCAGCAGCAAATCCTTTTAGAATGCATGTGTGTGTGTGTATTAGAAGAGGATGAGTTGACTTTTTTCCTTACTTCTTTTAATCATTTTCTACTTGTCAACTAGTAAAGTAAAAGAAATAGATCAAGTTCATCTTATTATGAACCCGATCAATTTGAGCTATATATATATATATATATATATATATATATATAAAACTTGCCAACTTGTTAACAGGTTATAATATACTGATTTCGCCATATTATATTCATTATGTAATAGACAGTCTTTTAAGCTTAATTAGTTAGTTGGTAATCAGAAGGGGTTTTGTGGAGATTTCAGTATTTTTCAAAGTTGAAATCATGAGTCAATTGAAGCTAGACCACCATGGAAAACCTGAAAGCACTGGACGGCCGTTTCGTCCTATTATGGAACTCCTCAGTGGAAGTGTGCATCCACGATCCCGCACTCGCGAGATTCGAACCCAAGACCTACCAGTCTCGCGCCAGAGCACTTAACCGATAGACCACTGAGCTGACATCCAATGGTGTTAATGTCTAACTTCAACCGATCCACGAAGTTTGAGCAACCGTTCACCTGTGTTCGAATCTCGCGAGTGTAGGATCGTGGATGCGCACTTCCACTGAGGAGTCCCATAATAGGACGAAACGGCCGTCCAGTGCTTCCAGGTTCTTCACAGTGGTCTAGCTTCAATTGACTCATGATTTCAATGTATTTGGTGAATTGTTTATATTGTATTGTTTATATCAAGATCTTTAAACAAAGTTCAGACTATATTATGAGAAGCATATTATATTAGGTGTATTTACTTAAAAGCCTCAACCATAATTTATGTTTAATCGTATTATAAGTATTAGATCAACTGTTATATCTCGAACTTAGATTCTTAGTCTGTCGCGTAATACTTGATCACTCAATCGCTAGAACCCTCCCAAGTCACAAATCAAAAAACAGAAGACAAGTAGAAGGAATGTTATTCCCGACAGTGTCAATTATTGTACATACGTGTCAGATATTTATAGTTTTTAGTAGAGACGAAATCATCATTATTAGTTATCCAATGCGTGCACAGGGAGTTATCAGCATTATCAAATAGGGAAGCTACACGTAGTGATTCTAGAATATTCTTCCAAAAACTGATTGGATGAAATGTGTTCGGCTCCTTTTGGGCTTCTTCGAGCTTCCTCAACTTCACCTGTGGACCGTCCTCATATCAACCATTATATATTCTTTTATCTTGAATGAGATAAGATGACGGCTGGAGGTAGTCAACAAGAAACCCTGAATCTAGTATCTCAACATAGTAGTGCATACAATGTTGAATAATCCAGACTAGTAACCACATGGTAACTTCATCGATAAGATTCAGTCTGTACTAAGAAATACATGAGATTGATCACCATCCAGTAATCAATCAATTCTAAATTACATGCTTTTATCATCTATGTTGTGTCACCTTTGTTAAATGTAATTTGATTTGTTTGTTTGCTTTTTTCGCCAGAACAATTCATGGTCTTGTATACAATGCTTTGAAACTATTCATGGAAATGAATCAAAAACTTTTTGATAGTTGTACACAACGATATAAAGAAGAAAGACAAAAGTTAGTCAATTGTGTTTATTGATTGGGAGGTTAATAGGTGTTATTAAATTACCTTATTTACTGTATACAATGAATAATCACTTAACATGGTTGATTCAGTCAAAAAAAACTATAAGACTGGTAAGCAAAGATGGATAGTGGCTAGCAGTGGAATCCAGTTTAACGCGGGTTTCGTTTTATTTGGGAATCGTCAGCTGGATGTAACCTGCATCTCAGAGTTGATATTCACTCTGGGACTCAAACCCAGTACCTTTCACTTCAAACATCATCGCATATATCCACTTGGCCACTGAGTCCTGTTAGCTACTTGCTTGTGCAAGACTCTTTATCTTGATATTGTGACTTTATTAAACACCCTTATACAAAGCTCCATTTGGGATAGTTGGATAGTATTGACTCTAAATAAATAATAATCCACATAATCTTCGAAATTGCAACGCAACACCTGATGTACAAACCTGATTCAGTTAGCGACTGCCATAGGATCCTATCTCCTTATTGGATTACACTCAAAGTCAAAGTTTCAGGAGCAAAGAGTAATTTATGTAGTTCTCATCTACTGTGGTAACGTGAAACGATGCGAATTTTACTCAAATCACACCATAAATAATTTAAATCCAGGCCATAAATTTACCGTTTTCTTTTCGAATTCTTATATGATGTGAAAGAGAACAGTTTTCTTAGATTGTATATGAGTGTGTGTGTTCGAACCGTTTACTATAAGCTAATGTTATCATAGTTGAAGTGTTGACTTATCCATCTAGATTGTTTATTATCATTATCATCATTAATAATAGTTTTATATGAGAACCCTGACTCAAAAAACAGTGATATGATAGCAGAGATCAATACTAGATGCCTATTTGTTCAGTAGACAGTTTTCACGAACTCGCTTATCAGTAGCTATAATAGTATACAAAACAGTTACAGCATTGACAGAAGTGTTCCATAAAGTGGACGACAACAAAATGATCAATATGTAATTAATTAACTGTAGCTTAAGAAAGCCATAATACACATCAATAGTTTATGCATCAAATGAAAGCTTACAATTAGAGGAATACAAAGATACAATAACCCAAGCATTTAGTAGTTATACAATAAAAAATATGATAATTTTACGTAAGGTAATTTTTAAAGTTACTTCCACAATGTTGGCCACACTATGGGAGATTAATAAAATCATTCTTCTCAATTTTTAGACAAATATCTACACTATGCTAATCAAAATGGCATTAGGAACCTAACTTACTTACTTACGCCTGTTACTCCTAATGCAGCATAGGTCGCCGACCAGCATTTTCCAACCCACTCTGTCCTGGGCCTTCTTTTCTAGTTCTATCCAATTCTTGTTCATTCTTTTCATGTCTGTCTCTATTTCTCGGCGTAATGTGTTCTTTGGTCTTCCTCTTCTCCTATAGGCATTTAAATTGCTAATAGAATACATCAAGATGATAAACTAACTTATCATTGTATTTTCAGTAGCCATGTGTATTTCATGGTGAATAATTACTCATTTATTCATCAGTGATACAGTCAACTACAACGTAGGACCGGGCATATTTATGCATCGGTCCAAGTTGCCATACCTCATTAGCACAACAAGATGAACACTGAATTCATGGAAGTAGTTAATTTAGTGGTGGTAGTATATAAAGAAAGTTTGTATATAAGCATATAGTATAGGAAGGAAGAAAGTTATGAAGCAATTTTAGTCTCAAGGTTTAAGGGAAGATAAAGAGTGTATACAACTACGCCATTGTGACCGATTCTGAGCCATGTCACCCAGAGTCTCCAACCATTGGTTACGATAGTCACGCGGACCTCAACCAAGTAGTCCGCATCCGCCAACATGGCTCAGAATAGAAGTTAGTAATTTCAAGCACTGATGCCACATTTTGGTTTGACTGCCCTTAACTCATTTCCAACCATCCCCTACACTAGTCAGCATAGCGCGTCGTGGTAATCGGTGTTCAGACATACGTAACACGTGGCCTAACCATCTCACTCGATGAAGATTCATCACCTCATCAACTGATTTACCATCATTTCCTAATACCCTGTGTCTAACCTCACTATTACTTACCCGGTTATCCCAGAAGATGCGAGCTGTTCCGTAGATAATCTGCCAATTCTAACTAAAACATTTTGATAGCCATTCAGGACGACTGGGGATAGTGGGAAACGGCAGTGTAGATGGAGGCCTGTTGAACATTAAATCTTCAAGTGTTCTGCACATCGATTCAATATTCTGGATTCAGAATAGATAACATATCCATCTTTTTCTAAGATAGTTTCGCTAACAGTTGGGTTCCTAATACTGGTTTCCCTAACAAATCTGAATGGTCGTCAGCCGCTGCCTTTTCTATCTATTCTTGTTTTTGCTGCCCACTACTGATTGCGATCACTTCGCAGGCTTCTTGTTAGCCTGCGCCTAAGCTGACTCCGCTCTCTGTTGTGTTCGGAACCAAATGGGATGGGTTTTTGAGCATCTATCAGTGCGGTAGATGCTGATGAGATCCAGTATTTCTCCTTAACCTTATAGCTAACCTCACTGGCAGACATCACTGCTGTTTTCACAGCTTTTCGGATAGCATTCATTGCCGCCTCGGGGTGGGCATCACGTGCATGACTGCCTAACTGTTTTTCTAGATGTTCCTGAAATATATTCAGCACTTGGCTATCATTAAGTAGAACCCTAAGTGGCTTGCTTGCAGCGTCTTTTCTACGTCCAATAAGACACAGACAGATACGTGCCCGCACTAGAACATGATCTGAATCTAAGCATTTGCTCCAGAATGAGCAACCGTCTCCTGTTGAGCCCCTCCATCGGTAGATGATAGTGATGTAATCTAGTTGGATCCAATGTTGGCAGGAATTCGGGTGTCGCCATGTCAAAAGATGTTTTTACTTGTGCCTAAAGTTAGTATTTGCAAGAAACAGACGGTTGTCTGAGCATAACTGCAACAGACGGTCACCATTATCCGTTCTCTGGGCCATGACATCATAGGATTAAACCAGGTGTCATTTCCTTTCGCCTAGTTTGCCTACTTGAGCATCGAAATCATCAGCCACTGTTACTATATCAGAGCGCCTAACGTTTTGTAGGAAGTCAGTAAGCTTTTTGTAAAATTCATGTTTTACCCCATTTGAGCTGCAGTCAGTGAGAAAGTAGGCAGAGACGACGAATAGACATCGACGAGTGTCCCTATCTTTCCGAGTTAGCTCTGCCCTAAGACTCAATGCTATACCTATGCCAGCGAGGCCACGAGAAGCAGCATCAGGGCTTCCAGATACACGAAGCGTGAATCGAGTTGGTTTTTTATATGGTTAGGTCAAATGAATGACGCTACTGAAATTGCGTATGAGCGTCTTGAAGACGCAGCACACATCCATGGTGTGAGACTCTAAAGTCATAGCTAAAGAAGCCTGTTGTCCTATTTGGCCCGGTGTTCGGGTGTTAAAAGCTCACACATGTAGTTTAGAGATTGGATTCAGGAGACCGCGAATAACGTTCCACGTAATCGAATCGTTTGCATTATCGGTGCGAGGTGATAAAGGGACGTGAGAAGGGTTAGTCGTTGAGATAAGAGAGTTATTAGGAGGTGTAGGAAGGATTTGTATGTGACCAACTTGGTCTTGTGTGCCGTTACATGTGTGAGGAATTATATCACTTCCCGGCTGCCCACACCGTTGAAGGGTATTTCTTGAGAGACCTAAAAAAGAAAGTTGTATTAATGTTGATCTTAACGACTTGGTAGCGTGACCGCAGAGCTCAAGGGACAACTGCTTGAGGCCGGTCGCGCACAGCCTTTTTGTGATGAGTTTTGACGTGTTAACTATGTCCTTCAAATTGTCTTACCGTCGGAGACAGAAATCCATGAGGTAAAGTGAGGCGTGACATTTTTAGGCTCTACCTTTTCTAACCCATTCCTTCCTTGTGAAAAGGCAGCATCGCTGCAGATGCTGGTTGTCCGAAGGAAACACCTTACTGTTGTCACAACCCTCTACAGTCAGCAGCACGACATTGCCCCCAGACATTGGGTCGCTGCTTTTAGTCCTACCGTTCTCCAATCGACCTGCCTGACGTGGTAAAGCCTACAGGAACATATGTACCAGCCAATATAGCTCGGTCAGGTCATCACGATAGGCAAGCTCGATCACCACATCAAGTTAGCAACTACGGTCAAGATGACAGATATCTATCGGTTAAATATTTTTATTTGCCCCTCAAATACTGATTTATCACTTAGTGCCTAACTGTAAAAAATGCTTTGTATTCTTTGACTGTCCGATAAAGATAGGTGATTCATTACTTCTAGTCTTAAAGTAGATTTTGGTTTTAACGTACTAGAAGTCAAAAGTAAGTCGCAGACGTCTCTGTACACTGCGAGCTGTTCCGTAGATAATCTACCAATTCTAACTAAAACATTTTGATAGCATAAGCAAGTTGATTTATGATGGTTATTCGATGTTTGTGTCTGTCTATAAGTTTGTTTATTTTACTTTGATATGGTTCAATGTTGTTACACATTTTGTTTTCTTATTTTAGAAGTAGAGAAGAAGCTAAACGTCGGGAACGTGTATGGGCAACATTAAGTGAAACTGCCAAAGGCAATCCATTATACGCTGTCGTTATGAAAGAAGCATCAATTTCTAATCGTGAATTACCAATTTCAGTTGCGCCTAATTCCATTTCATCATCACCATCTCCCATGGGTGACCATTGTGTAAATAATGGGACTCCATCTTCAAATAACACTGTTGAAAATGATGACGGTTCTCTTGGTCCTGATGAAGATGTTAGCGGTTCGTTGATGAATCTTCAACGTGAAGCGGAGGATAATGTATGTAGAATTTAATGTATTATATTAGATACTACAGAAGACTATAACATTGACATTTAGTCAGTTTTAAAATTATTTGTAAATCATATTTATTAGGTCTGATGCACTAATCGCTTGAGCTACTCATTTCCAGACTCTTATAATATCTAGTACTTTGACTTCAGGAAGTGAAAACATGAAAGACGTTTTACTTTTAAGACTACTTCATATACAGACAATAATGGTTATCTGTAGTTTGTAAAATGATCTTGGAATTCGTTTATATACGTTCCTAGAAAATGTAATGAAACTAAGAATGAATTTTGTATTTAGTTTCTTAGATTCAGGTAGCAAATCATCATAAAGGCTCTGATTGTATTGGTCTCAACGACAACAAAATCCAACGCTATTGGAAGTTTACATCCGAGCTACAAATCTTCAGCACCTCAAACTGTTTGAATTTTCCATACAGCTTTTAACTTGATAGTGATGCCGGTTGAAGGTAGTAGGTATACGGAAGGCGCTGATCGGCAAAGCAAGAGCAGCATATCTACAACTGAAAAACATCTGGAACTCAAAACAGCTGTCAACTAACACCAAAGTCAGAATTTTCAATACAAACATCAAGACAATTCTACTGTACGGGGCAGAAACCTGGAGAACTACGGAAGCCATCATCCAGAAGATACATGTGTTTATTAACAGTTGTCTATGCAAAATACTTCGGATTTGTTGACCAGACACTATCAGGAACAACCTACTGTGGGAGAAAACAAACCAGATTCCAGCGGAGGAAGAAGTGCTGGAAGTGGATAGGACACATACTAGGAAAAGCAGTCAACTGCATCACAAGGCGAGCCCTCACATGGAATCCTGAAGGCTAAAGAGAAAAGAGGAAGACGAGGGACACATGACGTCGATAAATGGAGACAAACATGAGAAAAATGAGCAACAATTGGATAGCACTAGAAAGGAAGTGATATGCTTGAGCTAATTCGAACAAAGGACATTGACATAGTGACACAATAAGCTAATCTAATCCGTCGTCCCAGGCCCCGCTAACTAGAGGAAGAAGTCCAAGGCGAAGTATGGGGGATATATATTCCGTAAGCAGCCGAGTACAAGCAAATCATAAGGGGGAAAAGTCAAACGTATATATACAGCGATAAATTGTCCTTGGGCAGCATTACAAAATAGCACACTCAAAGATACGATGGATCAATAGTATTTGAGATATTTTACAAGTGGAAAATACAACTTGAAGGTGAAATGAGCGCCTTTGACGCGAAAACAAATAAATTCAAATTTTAAAAATAAAATTACAAAATTAAGCCATTTATCAAGTAAGTTCTGGGAATTTGACATCCCCAACAGGAAGGCCTACGACAGAGTGTGTTGTTCGGCATCCCATGCTGTATTGGGATTTCAACCCGAAATTTCTTTCCTTAAACACTAAATGTTTTATTACTTAATTTATTTATAAGGTAGTATCCCTTGTTTAGTTCACACCAAACAACTAACCTAAGCAATTATATAAAAAAGGTATAAGTACGCATAGATTTATGGCTTTTTTATCACTTATCTAATTTATATTTCAGACGGAACTTCGTGGTATAATTAATGAACGACGTCGTGATAAACTTCCTATGATTCAAAGAAAATCAGAGCTTCCTCATAGTCAAACTACTATTCGTGCACTTGAACAACATCGTCGTCCAGATGAATATTTAAAAACTCAACCTGACAGCTAAGGTTTAAAGGATTTTTTTTTCAAAATATTAATTATTAGCTAAGTATCCCGGTCTCAGCAGGTTTCTGACACACACACACACACCTATATATATATATATATATGTGTGTGTGTGTGAATGTAAAAAAAAAAATACAAACCTATGGTATAGTATAATGCTTCATTCTTTTTCCCCATAGATGTAGCTTACTGTTGAGATGTTAATTTCTCTCTAAAACTATTCAATGTTAACTAATTAAGTTCAATCAGTTTATCTTTTTGTTGTTTTATAATGAATATTCTTTTTTTGTCTGTTTACTTACTTACTTACTTACTGCCTTTCAATCTCTTTACTTGAATCATTCAATATGTTTGTATTATCTGTCACCGCCTTTCTCCTCCGCCCGCCCCCTCTCCTTGGCATCCATCCACCTTTTTTTTTTCTCTTTACAAACAAGATTTCACTTGGACTCAATATTTCAGTTTATTGTTTTACACCTTTTTAACTTATCTCGTATACTCACTCACTCACACACACACACAGATGTGTGTGTTCGTTTGCTTTGTGTTATATGATATACTACCTTTTATTAGTATATTAAGTAGTATCTTCCAACAATATTTGATATAAGTTAGTGTTTGTTTCTTTGTTCATTACCATTTTCTTTCCCTCATGTATACACTGGTGCAAAAAGAAAATGGACATTGAAGATTAAACCTAGTCATCATAAGTAGTAACTTTTTATATTCTTCCTTATTATTATTATTATCTTATTCATACTACTACTACTACTACTACTACTACTACTACTACTACTACTACTACTACTACTACTACTACTACTACTACTACTACCTTGAATATGAATTTTATCTCTCAGGTCTTTTTCCTGTTCTCCCCTTTTCTCTTCTTTAATCTCCTTCTTTTTTCACCATTCATTGCTTCATTGAATAAAGATATATATATGTGTTAATTATCTTTTTTTCAAAAATGTGATCTTGTCCATGTTTCGTTTCATTGATCTAATTAACCATCAATTCTTATATTATTTGATCAATTTCTGTCTTCTTAATACTCTAGTGTTTATTAGTAGTATAAATAGTTAGTAGTAGTGATAGGTGGAAAGTATTTAAAAAAAAAGGATAATAATCATCTACAGAAATACATATGATTGTGGATTAGATATTGTATTCAACTTCTCTTATATATTCTCATTTGTTTGTTGTTTTTTTTGGTTTTTCTTTCTTTCTCTCTTTTTTCTGGCAATAGACAATATTCATTGCATATATATATATATATAGATATACATTGATATTTGTGTAATCATTTGTATTGAAATAATTGATATACAAATATTTACTGATGTTTGATTTTTTGTTTATTTGAGTATGTAAACAAACAAACAAAGTAGTACATTAATCTATGTATTGATTATATGCTGACTAGTGACTGGATCCATGAGGTATTTCCTGGAGTTCTAGTGATAAACAGTGACCAGTGTAATTCAATCAGGTCTGGTGAGAGTTATCAACTTATTGAAGACAATGATGAATGCGCCATACTTCTTCATTCGATATGTGTGAGGTTTGGAATATTATTCAGCTACCCGAACCGTGTGCATTTGGTTTGCTTGAGAAGTCACTACTACCCGAGCCTTTGATTTGAATGTCTAATCCGAATGGCAGTGGAACAACGTCAGGAAATGTAGTTTTATGGTAGCCGGCGACCAACAATAGGTTAATACGCCATTTGTTCCTTCAGGGTCCTGATGAATGTGTCACTCGATTTCGTGGATCAGTTGAAGTTAGAAATTAACATCGTTGGATGCCGACTAAGGGGTACTAGAGGTTAAGCATTCGCGCAAGAGACTAATGGGTTTTGGGTTCGAATCTTGCGGAGCGGGGTCGTGGATGCGTACCGTTGAGGAGTCCCACAATAGGACGAAACGGCCGTTCAGGTTTTCCATGGTGGTTCAGCTTCAATCGACTCATGAATCCAACTATACTACATGAATATGTTTTCTAGATTTATAGCGGAGTTGTAGTTAAAGCTTTACTATGAAATCATTGTCATTGATACTCTAGGTTGAAAATGAATTTTCTTAGGAGTTTAAAATAGCTATGAAAGTTATAAACAAAGATGGATGGTGGCTAGCAGTGGAATTCAGTTTGACGCGCGTTTCGTCCTATTTGGGACTCGTCAGCCGGGTGTATCTGCATCTCAGAGTTGATGTTCACTCTGGAACTCGAACCCAATACCGTTCGCTTCAAACGCCATCACGTTATCCACTTAGCTACTGAGTCCTGATAGCCACTTGCTTGTTTAAATTTATTTACTATTGTTTGTTTGAATTTTCCCATCGATGTGTTAGGACTGCAATTGATCAGTCTGTTATTGGCATATGTGTATACTGTACATATTGCCTCGAAACAGTTACTTTTATCGATGCTTTATTATTCGATTTAGTCGTAGCTCAGAGCTTACAAAAGAAAGGATTACACTAATTTGTTTCTCTTGATAGTGGAGTTGCAAATCACATGTTTAGGGGGGCTCAAACACTTAACTATGAATCATGAAGTTGAAGTTCTTCGTTTAAAGTTGTTGAATAATATTTATAGCCCATACATATTTTAACTATAACAGTGGTTGCGTACATTGTAACATTAGCATTTAGTAAGTGATTGCTTATGATAGTTGAATGTAATCATGGTTAACTTGCACATTATTGTATGTCTAGTTCGATTTTCAAGGATGACTCTTGCACTCTATGTTACGTCCGTCATTAAGTGCTGTTCCATTCTTGACTACTAGAGTACTCATTAGATAGTTCTAAATTTTACTAGTTAGTGTGCTGAATTCAACTTTAGTATTTACTCTTATCACAATGTCATATCTAGAATGAGCTTTCCCCGTAAGCAAATGTCTAGGACGCAACCTTCTTACCGAATTAATTTTCGATGAGGTACAAAGCATTATACATTCGCAGTAAAACTGGGTGAACTTATTAATTCAATGGATTATAAGTTCGAATCTCAACTTTTCTGAGTTCGCAAACCTACTTAATTAAAGGGGTACTGATATCGGTCATGTGTGTTTACTGAACAAAGACAGGTATAACCATTCTGGAGTACAGTAGATCATTGTCATATTTAAAAGATTTATTTATTTAAAGATATAAATATTGGTACAAAAAGGCACCAAATATATATGCACCACATAGATCAATCGATTTGTGTTAGCGTTAGTATATTGTCCGGCGACCCAAATCGAAGCAGGTTATATAAAAGATTGATTCACTAAATAATTTTGCTTGAATTAAAATAGTCAATCTTATAGTCTGGTTCTTTATTGTTAGTTAAGAAATGTATATCTATGTGCCATGTGATCTAAGGTGTCTAGTCAAGTATCGACTATTATGCGCATACACAAGATACCTTCTTTTTTATATCGTTATTTTAGACAAATAACTTTGCGTTTTTTTAGCGAGTTGGTTTTCTGCAGGATGGGGTCGCTAACCCCATGCCCAACTCTCCTCTTTTACCTGGGCTTGGGATCGACAGTAGCTCCCGGAGGAGCTACAGGCGGAATTAGAAAAATAACTTATACAATGCATATTCACTGTAAACTTTTAATATTTCTTATTGCTTACAGTTAATGATCGAAGTGGAGATTTTAATGGATACTTTTTACTATTCACTGACATATTCCTCATCTTTCGCTACTTGGTGGTGATTCATCACTTGTTTTATTAGCTGATTTGAAGGTGTAACATTTTTGTCTATATAAATAACTTAAATAAATTTTGCTATTGATCTATTGAGAATCTTAATGTAAGATGGTGGTTGGAGGTGGTCAACAGGAAACTATGGACCTGGGTTTCGCGCTACTTGGTACTCGTCAGCAAGGTGTACTTGTAATCTTGAGGGAACTGGTGCTCCAGAATGGATCCGATCCTGTGTCACTCAACTTCACAGTCTGAGACGTTACCACTGAGCTATTCGGGCCGCCAACAGCCTCCTGTAGGACTGAGATGTAATCACAATTGATTGATCACTGGGTGGTGATCAATGTCATGCGTGTCAAGTCCTTCTGAGGCCCAGGGTTTCCTGTTGATCACCTTCATCCACTACCTTATCTCAACATAGTGCAAGCAGTGTCGAGCCACCTAGACTAGTGGCCACATTGCAACTTAATTGATAGCATTCGATCAGAACTAAGAAGGACTTGACACCCATGACATTGATCACCACCCAGTGATCAATCAATTGAGAATCTTAATGTAGATGGATAGAGAATGGATTCGTTATCTATATTTTGAAAATTTCTCAATTGTAGTTCATAGTTTGCCTGTGAATCATAATCAGGAAGCCTCATTTTCAGCAGTCAGGGTTTATGGACTGGTGAAACTTGGGCATCCAAAGTCACATTACATCTGTTTCATACGTTCAATGGAGCGGAAAAAATTTATTTGTTTAAACAGATTAAAATTGGTACAAGGAGGCACCGAATATATATGCACGACACTTCGTCATTCGATTTGTGTGAAGTTTGGAATACTGCCCGGACACCCAGACGGTAACAGTTGTTTTTGTTCGGAGGCTGATCCCCGAGCTTTTGACCTGAAGGTCTAATCCACATGGCAGTAGAACAACGTTAGATATAATTCCATGGTAACCAGTGACCAATAATAGGTTCAAACGCCAAGTGTTCCTTCAGGTTCCTGGTACTAGCCCATGGGAACCATTGGTTTAGAATGAGGGTTTCCCAACTCCCCTTGGTGGATCCTCTATATCCACCAACCCGGTCAAAGCGCCAAGCATTTGCTTTTCGTCCTCTTAATTTCGTAAACAACAGTAATGCCGCGAGACGTTTTGAGGTGATTTCATATTTACCACACAATAATAGGGGTTCAATTATCACGGTCTGGTGAAGTTGCAAAAGACGGATGTTAAATTAAGCAAGTTAAGATCCGATGATACGACATCATTAATATCTGAAGATGTTCAACTCGGTAGCGTAAAAGTAACATGTTATGAAATCGACAGACCGACTGCGAACGTTCACCTTGAAACCATTGCAACAAAAAGTATTTGAAAGTATGAACAATATATCACTTCCGGGAATAAAAGCCTTGGTGAAGCTAATCAGCGAACACTTCGTATGGACAAACAAGAATGGAGATGTGTAACTGAAAACAGACATGCATGAAGCGTCAAAAAGTCAAAGTACATCGTCATACTAATTCTGCAGTGTTTTTTTTCTCTCACCCAGATTCTAGATTCGAATATATACACATCAATGTCATGGGACCACAGCCGATTTCAAATGGCTACAGCCATCGTTTTACATGGATTGACAGATTCAAACGACAGCATGTGGCGGTACCGATAAGGGACACCTCAGACTAGTCTGTAGCCAAGGACCTAATCGAGAATTAGATTATTTGTTATAAAGTGCCAGCGATTAACACAACTGATAGAGGAACTCAATTCTAAAGTTGCCTCTTCCAACAGCCTACGAATTCTACGTTTTCTCACGACATCCTACCATCCAATCGCAAACGGAATGGCTGAACGCCTGAATGAGCAGTTAAAAGCGTCTCTTACAGCTGTCATTGTCAACAACGATTAGGCCAATAAGCCTGTTCTAGTCATGCTGGGTTTAAGAACAACATTTAAACAGGACGTTAGATTTGGTATATGAAGCTACTCTACGTTTACCCGAATTTTTCGCATCAGGTAAAAGTGTTCCAACTGATGTAAACAACTACGTGCAGAGCCTAAAGAAGCATATGAACGATTTAAAAATATCACTTCTCAGACTACAACAGCAACGAATGTTCGTACTGCAGGAACTACATAATAGCACTCATATATTCATTAGAAGAGATAATATACGACCATCTTTGCAGCCGAATTATGACGGTCCGTCCAAAGTGATTACAAGAATAGATGAAACGGTTACCGTATAAAAAGCTGGAAATATAGATATAATCAGCATCGATCGAGTTAAACCAGTTTTCATCGAAAACGGTCATCAGCCGAAAAGTGCAGATCCTCCAAAGACAGTTACATCAGCGAAACCAGTCTCAGATATGAACGACGCAAATAAAGCAAAGAGAAGAGACACCAGTAGCGACGAGATATGGACGAAGAATTAAATGGCCTCACTGGTACATAGTTGAAATTTCCAACTTCTTTGGATATAAAGTATTCTTCTTCCTCTTCGTTGTGTACGCACGCATCACTAAGCCTATGTATCATAAAACTCGACATATGTTTATGCCCGTATTTAATCTTTTGGAAACGATACCATATCCTTCTCTATCCCTTGCCATTATTTTATCTGGCCTCACAGACATGCGCAAACTCAGACACACATCACTAATGTAAGCATACACCCTAGCTTTACCTTAATTTTGTATAAGCCGATATCTTCTAACAATCGTAATTATTCTATTCAGTTTACCATTCCTTTGGCAAACACAATCAATTTTTGTATATGTGTCTGCTTGCATGGGGAGTTATTATAGCAACATTCCGACGATTTATTTCGATTAGGGTTGGTTTCTGTCAAGCCCCTTTATCAACTTATTTAACAATGTTAGTCAAACAGTAGCAATCTGTTTATTTCTCTGTAACATTATGACCATCATGTATGTATAAACGTGCATACTAGTTCACAGGTGAAAGCCTACGCACATATTTCTATCTAGCTTAAATACCGCTCGAGAGCATTCTCTTTCCGATGTATATATATGCTCGAATCCTATTAATAGCCTTTGCCGTGCCTTGATGCTATCCAGCTACAAATTCGCCTCTATATTTGCTCGCTCATACACATTAGAATCTCTGCTCCAAATGCGCTCGATGTGCTTGTAGCTTTGTTTATCGTACTATCCTTCAATAAACTGAATTTGAACACCGTTAGGATTTATATAATAACTGTTATCAAGGTGATTGATTGATTGATTAACGAAGCTAAGCTACTATTATGGGATTCAGCAATTAAGAGATAATTCTTATGTGAGTTATTTATTTAGATTTATTTAAGCACATAAATATTGGTACAAGGAAGCACCAGATAAATATGCGCCTCACAAATCTCATTTGATTTGTGTGAGGGCTGTGATACTGCCCAGGTACCCAAACTGAAGGTGGTTTTCACACAGGGCCACACCCGGAGCCATTGACCTGAAGGTCTGATCCACAAGGCAGAGGAGCACCGTAAGGAGATGCAGTCCCATGGTAGCCGGTGACCAACGATTGATTAATACTCCATTTGTTCCCTGAGGATACTGGAGCCCATGTACACCATTGGTTTGGAATCAGGGTTTTCTTACCATTTTTCAAGCTGAACACTATATTATGATGCAGAACAGCAACGGCATCTAAGGTGCTTCTTTTGTATTTGTAAGCAAACTGATACAGATCAATGTGCTCTTGTAGTGCAGGCTGCAGTGAGAGTATCAATAATTCTTCCGACTCCTCTAGGTGGATCTTCCATATCTACCGACCCGGTTAAAGCGCCTGACATTTGCTTTTCGTCCTCTTAATTTCTTAAACACCACTCCTGATGAGAGAAGGCACTGAGCAGCACTTCCCTGGCAGAGGCTATATACACGTGGCCATGTGAGAGCATTTCGAGAAGGAGAGCGGACTCTCCCCACTCTCGACCGTACCAGAGCATTTGGGGGCAGTAGTAGTGAAAAGTATAAACCATGTAAGCCCAAGTAAATAGAACAAGGTTTAGACCTGTAACTCAGTAACCAATAGTTATACTTTTTATAGACAAATGACAAAGAACCTTAAACATTATGTACATATATATTTCAATTCTAAATATTTACAAAATTTGTTAATTAGATGGGTTTTTTTAAAGACCCTCCTGTGTTAAATTATCCAAAAGATTTTGTAGTTTTCTTTTTAAAACAGTTAAACCAGAGAATATAATTGCTCTTGGTTGTAATGATCCACAAGTTTCAATATTGAAATAGAAACGATTTGGCTTTTAAAGAAAAAAGAAAGGAATTTACTTTAATGGTAATATACGGACAAAAAAAAAGAGGATTCACTACATTTGTGATAAAAACTTTGTAACTAAGCTATTAAAATTTCGAACGACATTGTGATAGGAAGTAACCGTATGGTGACGACGAATTACTCTTAGCTCCAATACCTTAAACTACAAACACAGATCATCCTTCATTGTTCTTCAGACAGCCTGAAAACAAATCATATTCAAAATACCTAAAAGATTAAATACTAATGAGATAAGTGAGCAGTTATTGAATACGGATGTATTTAATATATCCTTGAAATCACAGCAACAAGTGTCTCAGGGAAGTCCTACTCACTGCTTCTCGTACCAGAGGTGTTGTTTGCGAAAGTGTGAGGACGAAAAGCGAATGTCCGGAGCTTTAACCGGGTTGGTGGAAACGGATAGTCCACCCAGGGGAGTTGGAAAACCCTGATTACAAACCAATGGTGCACATGGGCTCCAGTATCCTGAGGGAACAAATAGCATATGAACCAATCGTTGATCACCGGCTACTATGGGACTGCATCTCCTTAAGATGCTCCACTGCCTTGTGGACTAGATCTTTAGGTCAAAGGCTCGGGGTGTGGCCCCCTAAGAAAACCACCTTCTTCAGTTTGGGCACCTGGGCAGTACCACAGCCCTCACACAAATCAAATGAGATTTGTGCGGCGCATATTTATCTGGTGCTTCGTTGTAACAATATTTATGTGTTTAAATAAATAAATAAGTGTCTCAGTAAAGATCTAACAGTCAGTCAGTTACAACGTGGAACTTCGTACGTACGTACATCAGTTCGAGTTGCCACACCACATTAGAACAGAGATGAAGTTGTCGATTCAAATCTCATATTGGTAGAAGTAGTAAGAGTATAAGTATAATTGAAAGATAAGGGTTTGAAGATGTTATTCAAGGAGTAGAATACAGTGAAATAAATTTGGAAAGAGAAAAAGGAAAAAGACACAAATAATTCAGAAGATTAGAATTTGGGAGAACACAAAGAGTGGATGCACCTTCACCATTGCAAACGATTTTGAGCCATGTCATTCAAGGTCTCTAACCATCGGTTGCTATCATCTCGCGAATCCCAACCAGTTAGTCTACACCTACCAACATGGCTCAGTCCACTTGTCAGTGACTTCATGGATTTATGCCATGTTTTGGTCTGGCCGCCCTAGCTTTCTTCCAACCTACTCCTACACTATAAAGCATTGCACGTCGGGGCAGTCAGTGGTTGGGCATACGTAACACATGTCCCAGCCATCTCAACTGATGAAGTTTCACTACTTCATCAATCGATTTGCCATCCTTACCTAGTACCCGTTTCCTAACATTTGCATTACTTACCCGGTGGTCTCAGGATATACGAGCAATCCTTTGAAAAAATCTATGATCGAAAACTAGTAGCCTACGAATATCCTCTACTCATATCGGTTATGTTTCACTGCCATAAAGTAGGACGGAACAGACTGCTGCACAGTAAACCCGTCCTTTTGTTGCTAGACGGATATCTCGCCTACGCCATAAATGGCGCAAGTTGGCGAAAGGTAGACGAGCCTTCTGTATCCGTGCTGAGATTTCGTCATACACCAGACCACAAGGGCTAATGAGACTACCAAGATAAGTGAAGTGGTCTACACGCTCAACTACTTCACTCCCTATCATTAGTTCAGGTGTCGATGCAACCCAATCCTGAAGTAACATTTTGCACTTCGAGGGAGAGAATCGCATCCCGAACATGCCTGCATTGTTGCTTATGGTGGTCAGAAGACTCTGCATTTTGTCAGCGTCTTCACCAAATAAAACTAAGTCGTCGGCGTATTCTAAGTCAATAAGTGAGCCTCCTGGTAAAAGATCTAACAACCCAAAAAGGAGACAGGTGTCCTTAGCCACAGTGATGAATGACATCGTGAAATGCTACTAAGTACAACAACGATATAAAAAGTGGTGAAAATAATTCCTAGAGATTTAGGCTAATTCAAAAACACATTTTGTTCTTAATTTTTAATATATTATAACAATGCAGTTGAAGTGGTTACGGATACGTCTCTAAATGATTAAGCGACGATGGATGTTACATTTTGTTGGGGGTCGATAACTTGTAACTAAGTGACTTTTAAAACAATAATTTTGGGGATATAGAAAAGTCGCTTAATCTGAGAAAGTGTGCATCAACACAGGGTATTGTTCCTTAAATCGGAACAATGGTAGTAGGCTGACAAGAAGTCAAGAATTGCATAGACACATGTCATTTCAAGTTACACCCTTTGACGCTTCTGCACTCTGACGAAGAAATTTACATCCCCCAACATAACTCAGGTCAACAGCCAGTCCGACTGTAGTCCAGTACCATATTGTGATCCGGTCACTTATAATCTTTCCCAACCCACTGGTATTCTATCATCATAGAACATTGAGATGCCTGGTGATTAGGGGTAAATAAGATGTGTCCCAATTATTTCGAATCGGTTTGACAAGTACCCGGAACTCAAACACTCAACGAGAAAAACTTCTACTTTTAACCAGTAATTTAATGGATCACACCACAGCCATTGAATAGACTTCATTTTAGAAAGCATGCCATCAAGTTAAGGATAGAAGAAAATCCGGTCATCTATTTCAGTTAAAGATCATCCGGTCGTTTAATAACCTGTGGACATTCATGTTAAACATGCTCTCTAAATACGACTGCCATCCAGCTGGCTACTCCTTACTTTACATCTACTTAGTGGCCTTCTTGAGTAACACAACTGTATCTCCTAAGAAAAACTTAAAACACCGTGTTTTTAACTCATACATAACTTTCTGTCTGGGGAACGTAACACAGACCTACCAATATTCAATGAACGACGTACTTGATAACCTTGGTCCTGTACAAGAGTATGTAAAGATAATTGTTAAACTGCAATTCGTGATAACGAAACATTTTCAATATATGATTCTGTTAACTAATTCAAATCAAGGATGATAGTCTGTTACACAATCGAAAGCATGGAATGATTAGATTAATCTGGAGTTCCGGTGTCGCCAAAACATATCTTGATGTCCAAATGTAAATTATTGCTCCAGGACTGGCCTGCGTCAACACCTGAACTAAGGATAGGGAGTGAAGTAGTGGAACGCGTCGACAACTTCACTTATCTTGGAAGTCTGATCAGCCCTATTGGGTTGGTGTCTGATGAAATCTCAGCACGCATTCGAAAAGCTCGTTTGGCTTTTGCCAACTTACGTCACCTATGGCGTAGACGAGATATCCGTCTATCAATTAAGGGACGAGTATACTGCGCAGCAGTTCACTCTGTTCTACTTTACGGCTGCGAAACATGGCCATTAAGAGTAGAAGATACTCGTAGGTTACTAGTATTTGACCACAGATGCCTTAGAAATATTGCTCGCATCTGCTGGGATTATCGGGTAAGTAATAGTGAGGTTAGACGCAGGGTATTAGGGAATGATGGTAAATCAGTTGATGGGGTCGTGAATCTTCATCGACTGAGATGGTTGGGCCACGTGTTATTACGTATGCCTGAACACCGATTACCACGACGCTCTATGATGACTAGTATTGGGGATGGTTGGAAGAGAGTTAGGGGTGGCCAAACCAAAACATGGCATCAGTGCTTGAAGTCACTAACTTCTAGTCTGAGCCATGTTGGCAGATGCAGACTACCTGGTTGGGGTCTGCGTGACTATCGTAACTAATGGTTGGAGACTCTGGGTGACATGGCTCAGAATCGGTCACAATGGCGTAGGTGTATACAATCTTCCCTTAAACCTTGAGACTAAAATTGCTTCATAACTTTTTTCCTTCCTATACTATATGCTTATATACAAACTTTCTTTATATACTACCACCACTAAATTAACTACTTCTATGAATCCGGTATTCATCTTGTTGTGCTAACGAGGTATGGCAACTTGGACCGATGCATATATGTGCCTGGTCCTACGTTGTAGCTGACTGACTGATGTCCCATCTTCAGCAAATGATTTACTGTTCCGACAGCTAAGTCCGGTTGAAGACAGCGATCACATAAAAACGCAAACTGCAAGAAGGATGTTCTTAGTAAATAGTGTTCTGCAAACAGACTACTCAAAATCAGTAATATTATATACTATGTATCGTATGAAAAATTAAACAAGACTAACTTTTATTTCACCAGTAAGCGACAAGTAGTATCGACTTTGCAGGTTACTCATTCGTTAATGAAACCAAAACTTGACTATTAAGCTTAATTTATGCTCCTTACATAAACTATACAGGTTGAAGTAGGTTTGAACAAGTATTCCAATAGTTGTTATCGAAAGCCTTAAACTATTTAGTACACTGTGTGATTGTTATACATGGAAATAATTAAGGCATTAAATCTTGAAAAGGTATCTTACCTTCCCAGTAGGATCATAGGGTGCTTGATGTTCATTTTCCGGTAAAGTTGAATATTCCGAACGTGGCCATTCTTCCGGTTTATGCAAAAATGTATGTCTTAAGGCATTATCTGGGTCATATTCAAACCCTACACCAGCAGTTGGATTCCATTTTGCATGTTCTTTACCAAAACCTTTTTTTGCGATTGCTCTTAATTTCAGGCGTTGCCCCTTGCGCATTTTAACAATTAGTATGGATTCCTGAAAACCACAAATATATTTATATCCAGAGAGAGTAAGTTAACAGAGCGAATTGACTACAGATCCACGTTTCAAAAGAATTACATACAGTTTACAAACTTTTGATGAAAGTAAACAAAGTGGACAAACAAACCCTAGTTTAGTTCTGATAAACCACAATTTTAAAAGATAGTATACGCTTTATCAAATTACACACGACATATATAATGAAAATATGCGCTAACCTGACCGACATATGACGATTCATCAGCATCTCTTGATGGTACAGGTTGTACATCACGGTTACTGCTGATCAGATCTGCTCCAGTAACATGCCTTGGTGCATCCGTAGTACAACATACATCCAATGTAAGTTCAACGGAACATTGCTCACAGAATTCGCGGCAAGGACATTCTCGGAAATAAGTCATTTTATCAACTACATTATCACATGTCAGTGGAATTAACCCAACGCGTTGAGCAATGAATTCATCATTTAACATTGTATTATTGTCTTCAATCTGTACCCAATCTATTGCAAGAGTAGGGACTTCAGCGATACAAACACGCCGAATAGCATTGGCTACGCTTAAATCAGTCTCTTCCAGGACAAACTTTATGTTTTCATTGTTAAAGCTCGTTAATGTGACGATAGGCTGATTGGCATATGGCATCTCTAACTGTTTTAGGAATCTAATGCAAAATAAAAAAGTAAATGGAAGTCTTCAGAAGCAATAACTTCAGTGGTCATATTTATAAACCAAATGAAATATGCAAAACTTGAATTCGAGAGCGGTAAAAAGATAATATTGATTGTTTATAGTAACCATCTTATCAATAAAACTTGTATATAGCTCGTACTAACACTCACAGTGATAAAAATTGTCTTCTGACACTGGCATCAAATAAACTGAGAACAAAAGTAGTTTGAATGCCAGTCAACGTTGAAGATTAAGAAACTGTAATTTTCTAAATACATTTAAATATCAACTAAATTTTGACTTAAATATATGAGAGCACGCATGAAAGTTTGGTAAGACCATAGGAAAGATATAAAGGATTCGAGGTAGGATTAAACTATACTGCCGAGCTAATCAGAAGCTTTCGCGGGTTTTCAAGGTCACAGCGCTAAGTTCGGTACCTGATGCTTACGTACGGTCGGTTTACAGCGGATTTTAGGGTAGACGTGATAATAGCGTCTACAATAGAAGTGATCATAAGATTTTGGTGCGAAATTCAATTATCCATTTGGATAAATAGAGTTGTGGCATTATAGCTGATGTCAGTTCGTGATGAAAACCCTAGCCTTAATCATGAACTGTAAATCATAATTTGAATTCTCCACACAGGTTTATAGCCCTCATTTGGTCTTAGTTATTATGTTGCCACTCTCAGAGTCACTCTAGCGTCGCTCAAAGGTTGTCCATAACTTATAGTCTCACCCATAACCCTAAACCCTACACCTAAACCTTAACTCTAACTCTAACCCGTAAATCATACCAATATACTAACATCATTGAAGCTATGTGGTCGAGGCTAAAAGAATTTTTGAGACCTTATCCTGGTTTCAGAGGTCGACTACTATGGAGCCATATGGATGTGTTCCTGTACCGTATGCACTATGATTTTAGAATTTCTGAACCTATATCTGACCTTGAGAAGTTATTGACTTATGTAAAAGTGTTTCCACTTTAATTCTTTGGTTTTGTATAATATATTTTACTGTATACTAACTGTCTTCTGATTGGCTAATATTTCTCAAGGTCATTTAAGATTCGTTCAAAGGTCGGCAGTATAGTTTAATCCTACCGGTTTCGACCGGTTTCCATTAAATTGCATCACCTGTATCGCAGTACACAAGTCTGACTTATCAAATATTAGGCTTGATGCAAAAGATCTCTGGATTCCTGTAAGTATGGTATATCGTCTATGAAAGTGCAATGTACACACAAACTTTTGTTATTCCATCACAGATGCTTTTCGAGCATTATTCGCATGAGTGACCGTCCAAGAAAGCTCGTCTTAATTTGGGCGCATGGACAGTATACCAGTCCATACACAAATTCAGTAACTTGCGTGGTGCATATATGTTTTGGTACCCAATTATACCAATTTTTATGTATTTAAGTAGCGGTCAGAGACAATCGTGACCAATAGTTTAAAATATTATGGTCAAATGTGGATAGCAGTAACCAATTCTTACTTCTTCCTAAGTCTTGATTTTAGCATAGTTTCATGTAATGTCTCTCGTGCTTCGAACTAATTTGGTTTCCCTTCACACAACACTACTATAATTCATACATTTTTGGTATGTACAGCACGCCCTGGTACGGCCGAGAGTGGGGAGAGTCCGCTCTCCCTCTCCAAATGTGAATAAATAGCCTCTGACAGGGAAGTCCTACTCACTGCTTCTCGTACCAGAGATGTTGTTTACAAAATTGAGAGGACAAAAAGCGTAAGTCCGGAGCTTTAACCGGGTTGGTGGAAACGGCGAGTCCACCTAGGGGAGTAGGAAAACCCTGATTCCAAACCAATGGTGCACATGGGTTCCAGAATCCTGAGGGAACAAACAGCGTACGAATCAATCATTGATAACCGGGTCGGTAGATATGGAAGATCCACCTAGGGGAGTCGGAAGAATTATTGATACTCTCACTGCAGCCTGCACTACAAAAGCACATTGATCTGTATCAGTTTGCTTACAAATACAAAAGAAGCACCTTAGATGCCGTTGCTGTTCTGCATCATAATATAGTGTTCAGCTTAAAAAATGGTAAGAAAACCCTGATTCCAAACCAATGGTGCACATGGGTTCCAGTATCCCGCGGGAACAAACAGCGTACGAATCAATCATTGATAACCGGCTACCATGAGACCGCATCTCCTCACGATGCTCCACTGCCTTGTGGACTAGACCTTTACGTCAAAGGCTCGGAGTGTGGCCCCCTAAGAAAACCACCTGCTTCAGTTTGAGCAGCATCACAGCCCTCACACAAATCAAATGAGATTTGTGTGGCGCATATTTATCTGGTGCTTTCTTGTACCAATATTTATGTGTTTAAATATATAAAATAAAATGGCTTTGGGAACGAATGACGTTTAAGAGTCAGTATGCAGATACTATGAAACTCGTGAAGATTTTCTTTAGTGTCCTCAGTTAACTTATACCTCTCACCTCAATCTAGATAAGAGTTCAAACTTATCGCTAGCTCTTTGAAACGCCGCAATGTCGAATAAACGTGCATCTTAACGGTATTTAAACGACAAAAAACCTTAAGATCACTGTGCTCATAGATATTAAACCATCTTTAAGTTCCAGAGATTGTTGAGCTTTACAGTTACACAAAAAGGCACTTTAGTCATAAAACCACTAAAAGCCAGGAGGTACCGGATAGCTGCTTCGGTGTACTCGGATGTGCAGAGTAATGCATAAGGTCACGACTGTAACAGGAATCACTTAGTTCTAAAGTTGTCTAATGTTGCAAAGTGAATGATAATAACATTTTTATATAAAAAATTAACATTTTCTTAGAAGTAGAAGCACTACACGGACATGTGCAAAAACCGACCTTCAAAAACCCAAAGTAGAGCATATACTTAAAAGTTCAACTTCAACTTTCAATTTCAGTATCAGTCGACAAAATCAGTAGACAGTTTGTTCATTGAGATCTGCTTCCAGTTAGCCAGAGTGAATTTTAACCTACGAAGAATTGCGATTTTCGCAAACTGAAGAGCGAAAAAGTTTGCTTCACAGTAGTTTTGATGTCTTTGTAACTGTTCGTATAGGGAATTAATTTATTCTTCCTTGCTCCTACTTTTTTCAGTAGAGATCTAGGTCTTTGGTAATGTCCAATGGGCATCATTCTATCCACTTAGAAAAGGTAACAGCCTCGGGGAATGAACAATGAATTAAATCAATTAATACGGACTATATGGAAACTGATGCGTACAAATAAAACGGAAAACGGAGCTGATTAAAAGCAACATATGTATAACACAATTACATACATATAATGATAACAGTGAATAAGTAGAGTTAGCTGAGAACCTCCAGTCAAGATTGAAACATCACAAGTATAGTATTTAGTCACTCCCCTAATTCACAAATACTTGATTAAAACATCTAATTATTAACAGTTTAACTTTCTGACTAATTAGATTAGCTAAATTTTATCTGACTGAGGTCCAAAATGTTTCGTCATATTAACTGTTAACTGTGTTGGGCACGTTTAACCCCGTTAAGTTAGGTGACATAAAACATAAAACTCAAAAAGAATTGGAAACCCAGAAGGAATATACATGAAATCAGGGGGAATCCACTACCGAGATTCATGCTATTTACGCCCTCCCATAGTGCACAGAGACGTCTGCGACTTACTTTTGACTTCTAGTACGTTAAAACCAAAATCTACTTTAAGACTAGAAGTAATGAATCACCTATCTTTATCGGACAGTCAAAGAATACAAAGCATTTTTACAGTTAGGCACTAAGTGATAAATCAGTATTTGAGGGACAAATAAAAATATTTAACCGATAGATATCTGTCATCTTGACCGTAGTTGCTAACTTGGTGTGGTGATCGAGCTTGCCTATCGTGATGACCTGACCGAGCTATATTGGCTGGTACATATGTTCCTGTAGGCTCTACCACGTCAGGCAGGTCGATTGGAGAACGGTAAGACTAAAAGCAGTGACTCAATGTCTGAGGGCAATGTCGTACTGCTGACTGTAGAGGGTTGTGGCAACAGTAAGGTGTTTCCTTCGGACAACCAGCATCAGCAGCAATGCTGCCTTTTCACAAGGAAGGAATGAGTTAGATAAGGTAGAACCTAAAAATGTCACGCCACACTTTACCTCATGGATTTCTGTCTCCGACGGTAAGACAATTTGAAGGACATAGTTAACACGTCAAAACTCATCACAAAAAGGCTGTGCGCGACCGGCCTCAAGCAGTTGTCCCTTGAGCTCTGCGGTCACGCTACCAAGTCGTTAAGATCAACATTAATACAACTTTCTTTTTTAGGTCTCTCAAGAAATACCCTTCAACGGTGTGGGCAGCCGGGAAGTGATATAATTCCTCACACATGTAACGGCACACAAGACCAAGTTGGTCACATACAGATCCTTCCTACACCTCCTAATAACTCTCTTATCCCAACGACTAACCCTTCTCACGTCCCTTTATCACCTCGCACCGATAATGCAAACGATTCGATTACGTGGAATGTTATTCGCGGTCTCCTGAATCCAATCTCTAAACTACATGTGTGAGCTTTTAACACCCGAACACCGGGCCAAATAGGACAACAGGCTTCTTAAGCTATGACTTTAGAGTCTCACACCATGGATGTGTGCTGCGTCTTCAAGACGCTCATACGCAATTTCAGTAGCGTCATTCATTTGACCTAACCATATAAAAAACCAACTCGATTCACGCTTCGTGTATATGGAAGCCCTGATGCTGCTTCTCGTGGCCTCGCTGGCATAGGTATAGCATTGAGTCTTAGGGCAGAGCTAACTCGGAAAGATAGGAACACTCGTCGATGTCTATTCGTCGTCTCTGCCTACTTTCTCACTGACTGCAGCTCAAATGGGGTAAAAGATGAATTTTACAAAAAGCTTACTGACTTCCTACAAAACGTTAGGCGCTCTGATATAGTAACAGTGGCTGATGATTTCGATGCTCAAGTAGGCAAACTAGGCGAAAGGAAATGACACCTGGTTGGATCTTATGATGTCATGGCCCAGAGAACGGATAATGGTGACCGTCTGTTGCAGTTATGCTCAGACAACCGTCTGTTTCTTGCAAATACTAAATTTAGGCACAAGCAAAAACATCTTTTGACATGGCGACCCCGAATTCCTGCCAACATTGGACCCAACTAGATTATATCACTATCATCTACCGATGGAGGGGCTCAACAGGAGACGGTTGCTCGTTCTGGAGCAAATGCTCAGATTCAGATCATGTTCTAGTTCGGGCACGTATCTGTCTGTGTCTTATTGGACGTAGAAAAGACGCTGCAAGCAAGCCACTTAGGGTTCTGCCTCCTAAGGTCACATAAACCTGATCATTAACTCTTTGGG